CTTTTTCTTTTTTTTTTTTTTGGATTGGAGATCAAGGGATAATAGGGAAAAAAAAATAGAAAACACAAGTGTGTGTGTGTAGAGGGAGAGAAAGAGAGAGAAAAGGCATGTTTGGTTTGATAGACAAATACAAAAATTGAACGATAGATGCTTCTTTTAATGGGGTTCATTGAATCATAAATATGGACAAATAGACTTAGTTGTGAACATTGTACAGAAAAAAAAAATGACTTGAACAGATAAAATCAAAAAATCAAACAGATCTAAATTTTAAAAGATAGATAAAAAAATATTGAATAGGTAGGTAGAACAATTAAACAAATAGTTATAAATTTAAACCAATAGGGAAAAAATTTAAACAGATAAGTAAATAATTTGAACAGACAGATATAAGTTTAAATATAAAGGGAAAAAATTGAACAAATAGGTAAATAATTTGAATAGATAGATATAAATTTAAACAAATAGTCAAAAAAGTCAACAGGTAAAAAAAGTCAACAAATAAATTAAGGGGTAAAATTGAAAACAAAATGTCTTTCAAAATTAATAAAAGAATTTTTTACCAAGCTATTTCACAAATGATGGATATCTTACCAATAAAAAATAACTACTAGATCTAATACCTTATACACTCTCTAAATTAGATTTATCACTAATTTTCTTTTTAAAATAATCAAAACAACACTTATAAGAGCATCTTCAACACTTCATAAATTTTTTTATTAAATTTGAGTAAAAATTTGATCTGATATGTTGTACTCGTACGATCTTTATCAATTATGCCAATCGTCTGGTCAATCATCTGGTGAAGAGTAAAAATCCAGTTATCTACCAACGATTACTTATGAAATTTGATAAAATGTTAAATATTTCAATTTAATAAAATGGTTGGAGCACAATTTTCATTAACTTTTATTAAATTTAATTTTAATGAAACAATGGCAGAGATGGCCTAAGAGCATCTTTAACGGTGAACCAAACCTGGCATCAGATTTAAATTTTGGTGAAAAAGTCACTTTTTGGAGCTCCAATGGTTTCAACAAATTGGTATCAAAATGAAAATTCACCAAAAAATTCATTAAAGTGAGAACAGGGTACAAATTTCACTACTTTACTGTGCATGATCGCTGGAGGAGACTAACCGGTCGATCGGTTCCCTTTCAAATAGGTAGGTTTAAACTGGTCAAAAAAATTCAAATAGGTTAAAAAAAAAAAAAAAATTTTGCCTTACCGGTCGACCCTCTCCTTTTGATGCACGGTTGGAGGAAGAAAAATCAGATTGAGAAAATTAGTTTTTTTTACTCAAATTTAGTAAAAAATTTGGTTCACCGTTAGAGATGGTCTAATAAATTCTAAATTCAAATTTGAATCGAAGCCAATACACTTTTTTATTAAAATATTATTGTTTAAATTTAAAAATTAAACCCACATTTTAAATCAAGTAAAAAGTACAGTATCATTTTCTATCATCACGTCATATGCATTGTTTTGAAAATTGGATTGGACCGGTTCAATCAGTTGAACTACCGATCAATCGGGGTTTCAGTCTGAATACACCTTCTAAATTTTTTGAAGTAAAAAATCGGCCTATTTCGTCGGGTTGATAAAATTGAAAATTTTGATTTTTTTTTTGTGTGGATATTTTCTAACTTTGTTTTTATTTTTTATTTCTTTCTTATTATATATAAAAAAATTTAATTGAAAACTCTCTTTTAAGGGCCTCATTTTGTGAGGAGCCTCATTAAGAGTTTGAAATTGTTGTAAAAGTCTCTATTTATTTATAAGAAAAAAAATTCTTCGAAAAAAACTCAAGAAATCTATGTGGGACTCAATCAAATTTAATGGAGGGAAACTTTAAATTTTGATATCAAATAATTTAAATTAAAATCATATAGAGAGAATATTGAATATTTGATTTCCTCTTCTAAAATTAAAATTAATAATATTTTAAAATATCTTATTATATTTTTTAGTAAAACAAATATTAAGAGAAATATTTAAAATAATTTAATATTTTTAATTTATAATTTTATTACTTATATTTTTATTTAAATATAATTTTAATATATTTATTACGTCACGAATTGATAATCCATCTATCCAATCTTTTTTCTAATTCATTAATCAAATACGATTTTTAAAACATTTGTCACATGGAGGGGCAGTCGGAATCCAAAACCATCACAGCATATTCTGCGCGCCTCTGGTATAAATTTAGGATGGTTTAGATTGGGCCGTGGTAAGGGCCGGACAAATTGTGGGCCGAACACATTTGGGCCGTGGCAGCCTGGGCCCATCCAGAAAGGATTTTCACTCGGTAATGGCACAGTTGCTGTGAAACCGAGCTACTTGCTCGATAATGGCATAGTTGCTCGGTAATGGCATAGTTGCATAATTGATGTCGTATTAGCGGTCAAGTGAGGTTCGACCGAGATGTTCGCTGCCTCACTGGGTTCCATGGTTCATGCGTTAGCTCGGCAGGAAGGCCGACGGCTAACCAGTATAACTTATCCGGAGCTCGGCTAAGCCGGAATGCAATCGAGCTCGGTCGTCATTGAGCTTGGCGAGCGGAGCGCTCTGGCTAGCTGCGCAGCACGGCCGTTGACAGCCGAGATGCTGCAGCCCGGTGCCGAGCTCCCAGTGGTGTGGGCTGGCAGTTAGGTGATGTTCAGCTAGATTTGTGCTGACAGATGGGATAACAGCACCACGTGTCGAGAGACTAATGGGAGTAGATTTGGGGCGCAGAAGGTATATAAGCGAGTCTACGGCCCCCAAGCTGTGGCAGATGAACATTTGGTGAGACTTACACTAAACACTCAATCCCCTCTCTCACTCTATTCCTATGTGTGTCTAACTTGATCGTCGGAGGGGTATTCCGACCACACACTGCCGGGTAGCTCACCGCCATTGTGCTCGTAGGTCGATCGGACAGGCAGGATGGGATAACAGCACCACGTGTCGAGAGACTAATAGGAGTAGATTTGGGGCGCAGAAGGTATATAAGCGAGTCTATGCCCCCCACGCTGTGGCAGATGAGCATTTGGTGAGACTTACACTAAACACTCAATCCCCTCTCTCACTCTATTCCTATGTGTGTCTAACTTGATCGTCGGAGGGGTATTCCGACCACACACTGCCGGGTAGCTCACCGCCATTGTGCTCGTAGGTCGATCGGACAGGCAGGAGCTTGGAAGAAAGGAGTACGGGCTTGCCGAAATATTTGCTCCCCGTACATTTATTACTCATGATTTGATTATGATTAAACCAGACGATTGAATTGATAATCCATCTATCCAATCTTTTTTCTAATTCATTAATCAAATCCGACTTTTAAAACATTTGTCACATGGAGGGGCAGTCGGAATCCAAAACCATTACAGCATATTCTGCGCGCCTCTGGTATAAATTTAGGATGGTTTTGAAAAGTAAGTTAAAAATTAATTTTTTTTTTTTAATTTATAAATTCATTTTAGGAAAATGTTATATAAATAAATAAAAAATTTACAAACTTTTCTTATAAATTAATGTGGCATGAAATGATATAATTTTAAAATATAAAATGAGACTTAACTTACTAATATTCTACATGACACATCAATTTATATATTTTTTTATTTGTATAGCACTATTCTTCATTTTATTAGCATAATTCATTTTGTGGGTGTTTGAAAAGTTACTATTTTAGTAGGTTATTTTAATTTTTGGTTATTTTAAGAGGTTAAAATTTTTATATTTGGGAAAATAGTTAGATTTTTTGTAGTTGAATGTGATATTTGTAGGAGAAAAAATAAAATAATTACGAATTTGATGTGATATTTTATTTTATTAATAATTTTCATTTATTTTGTCTTTCAATACTTTTTTAACCAAAAAAATAAAAAATAAAAAAAACTAAAAAACGCCTACTTCCCAAACACGCGTGAGGATCCTCTAGAGTGCCTTCTCTAGAGTGATCTCCTAGAGTGAACAATCGAAGGGCTGAGATTCTTCCTTGCCAAAATGACGTCGTTTTGGCGTGTAATTTGAAGAAATAAAGAAAAAAAAAAAAAAACTCAGATTTGTCTCTGTTCTCTTCTTTTTCTTTCCCCAAAATCCAGTTGAATCAAAATCCATCTTCAAGTGCTCTTGCATTCTTTGCACAATCAACAGAAAGGGTGAGATTAATGCACAGCTACGAATATGTATCTCTATATGCATATATATATATATATATATATATTTACAGACCCCATGTATATTTTCAAGTGCATAGCGAGGTTGATTAATCCCCAAAACCCAGTTGATTAATGCTTCTTCAAGTGCTCTTGCTTTCTCGATTCCTTATCAACCTCGTACTAAATTGAATCAAAATCCATCTTCAAGTGCTCTTCCGTATCAACCTACGAATATGTATCTCTATATGCATATATATATATATATATATATATATATATATTTACAGACCCCATGTATATATTTTTTTTTGATCAACAACAGACCCCATGTATATATGTATATCTATATGTATATTTACAGATTGAATCAAATGAAAATGGATTTTGATCCGTGAGATTTGAATAAATAAAAAAGAAGATTAAATCAACATAAGCATCGTTCAGTTTCTTCAAGACAGAATCAAAGACGATGGAGATCGGCAGACATGGAGATCGGCGAAGGAGATTGTTCAGCTCATCGACGGATCGAAGACGAAGGCAACGTCGATAGACATGGAGATCGGCGAAGGAGATTGTTCAGATTGTTCAGCTCCTCTTCTCTCCTCTCAGCCCTTCTCTCTCTCTTTCTCTTCTCTCAGCCCTTCTCTCTGTTTTGAAATCTGAGTTTTTTTTTTGATTTTTTTTTTCAAATTTCACGCCAAAACGACATCATTTTAGCGAGAAAAAATCACAACTTTTCGATTGTTCACTCCAGAAGATTAGTCTAGAGAAGGCACTTTAGAGGATCCTCGCGCCCCCAAACACCGCTAAAATTTTTTGGAATAGAATAACATATCCCAAGGTAAACTTATAGCTAGCAAAGTTGGCATTCCCTTCATTTTTTTTGTTTATTGGGTAGATTCTCTCCCACGCAGACGCAGAGCATAGCCGGAGAGCGACACAGAAATCGCCATGAAAGCTCTGCTTAATTCTGACTCAACTACCATCTCCCCCATCTCCACCATCAATCCTCGAAACTTCACTCAACCGAAGATCCAAACCTCTCTTCACTTCTCTCCAAAAGATAACCACCACCACCACCGTTTGATTCGACGGAAAGCTCGGTTCACTGCGAAATCTGTGAGTGATTCGGCCACGATTGATCAACTAGGGATTCCGGAATCCGATTTCCGAAATCCGGCAGTTTCGACTTCGTATAGGAGCTCCAAGTTTCGGAAACCCAATCAGACCGTGTTGGAAGCTCAAGCCAAGGTCTGCACTGGCCCCACTCAGACTAGGCCTCTCACTGAAGAACAAGCTTTCAAGGTTTTGGACACCATTTTGAGATCAGGTCATAAATTTCTCTCTCTCTCTCTCACTCATAGCTTTTTTGTTCAATTTTATTTATCAATTTGTAGTTCAATACACTCCACTTTACTTATATATCTGTCTATATCATTCCCAATGTTTCTGGGAATTTGAATGTTTCTTAATTAGCTCATTTTGACAAATTTCAATTGTCTGCGAAATTCACTCTTACTTATGTTGGAGGCTGCATAACTCAATAATAATGGCATAGTTGAGCTCAGTAATCTTTTGTTTTTGGGATAAGATTGAGAGCTAAGTAATTAATGAATCACTTTCTAAAGAGATGCCTAATGCCATTAATTTCAAGTTGGCAGTGTGTTTTTGTCTACCCATTTTCCAGAATTTCAAATTCAGTAAACTCCGTGTGGATATAAAAGAATATGTATATATATATATATACATATTAGAGAGAATGCAAAGGAGGAGCAGAGCCATAGATAATGTATTTGGTGCTTGTGAATTTCAGAACAGCTGGAAACATGACACATAACAAGTTACCACACACAACTTTGAACTTACTGCCATGTTTCGACTTTCTAGCTCAGCGCAGTAGTACTCAGATTGAACTATCTCCAAGCTCCGGTGGAGTTGTTTTGTGAGTTCATCACCTGTGCCAACCCCGTTGTGCATTGCGTTATTGTCCTATATAGTTCCTTTGAGTCAGGACTATATATAACTAAGAAAAAGAAAGTATGGCCTATTGAAAGCCTATACTGATTTCTACATTAGTGAACAACAATTTTTGAAGCCTATGTTGGTCCAACAGCAATTTGATCCAATCCCAGCACCCTCACTCTCTTTTTTCCCAACTTTTTTGTTGATTCTAATCGGTCACTTATTTAAATTTGAGAAATGTTCCTCAACTTTGGCCCTTGGGTAACTTTGGATGGCTGATGCTTTTCTAATTGTGTGAACTCAGCTAAGGGAGAACTTAACGATGAAGAAGAAGTTTCAAAAGCACAGCTTGGGGCTTTTTTCGCTGCAATGACTATTCGTGCAAATGCGTTTCCTGAAGCTACCCAATGGAGCGAGGGGGAAATGCGTGCAATGAACACATATTGGCCACATTTAGTTCGAACACTTCCCCCGGATATCATCTTCATAGCTGATCCTGAAGGCTCTATAATGGGATTTGGAAGTTCGATAGGGCCCCAATATGTTGGCAATGGTACTAATGAAATGAGACTGGTGGGTGCCCTTAGGGAAGTCTTGGCAGGGGGTCACCTAGGATATGAAGAGGTTCAAGGTGTTCTAAAAGATGTTCTTCCACTTAAATTGGAAAACAAGACATCAGCAAGTGAGTCACTGCTTTCAGCATTTTTAATAGGTCAACGTATGAATAGAGAAACAGATCGTGAATTGAAAGCATACTGCCTAGCATTTGACGATGAACTTGGTAATTTTTTTGATCCACCAATCAGCTCATATCGACTTTTAATTAATTGAACATTTGAAATCGATGCCTATCGTTGTTCTTCTTACTCTTCTTATCTACTGATTAGCAGGTCCCCCACCAATCGCTGATGTCAGATCATTGACTCATTACGGCGAGCCTTATGATGGGAACACTCGTTACTTCAGGAGCACACTTTTTGTTGCTGCAGTTAGGTCCTGTTATGGCGAATCCTGCTTGCTTCATGGGGTGGAATGGATGCCGCCAAAGGTCATCAGTTAGCTTACCTTGCCATTGTGGTCTCTGTGTATTACTTTTTTTATTCTTCAAACTTTCATTGATGGTGGCATCCGACATTGTGAAAAGCATCATTTGGATTTGCTGTTTATTGGGAATGGTTGTGTTAAACAGAGAAGTTTTGCTTGTATGCAAAATGCATCTTTACTCATTTGAGTATTATTATTTTCTTATTTCTGGTACATGAAACCTTTGAAAGGAAATAATAATAATACCGACAACACCATCACTAACAACAAAAAGAATAGACTAGTCAAAATTGTGTTTTATCCAAATTGAAAACGTCTTCTGTTTCCAGGGGGGCGTAAATGAAGAACAAATGCTGAAGTTCATGGGAGCAAATGTACAGTTGTCCCCATTGCAGGCAAAAAAAATTATTGAGGTCACATGCTTTCTTGCTCTGCCATTATTGTGATTATACTGTCTCTTAAATATCTTCTTTGTAGTATTTAACTTTTCCAAAATGTTTATTTCAGGATGAGGAAGTCGGATTTGCTTATGTAAGTCAACGTGAAGCTCTCCCATCTCTGTATGCAAATCTAACCAGATTATTTCTCCGTCAAACTTTTTTTTTTCCTGTTTCTTAAGTGGACATAGGCAATTTGCGTCCTGAAGTTTCCTTGTAGTCATTGTTTTTCTTTGTAGTCATTACATGTGTTGTTTTATCAGATATTCATTAATTGGGTTGAGGGAACATATAAAGAAACGTCCACCACTGGCAACATCTGAGAAGGTTCAGCAATTTGTGAGGGTAAGCAGCATTTTTTTTTTCAATGGGATTGCTCCTCAATGTGTTATATAGGTGCTCCTTTCTTCTTCTGACAGAATTTCAAGTAAAATGAAACTAGACAAACATATTGTGTAGATAAATCCTGTAACAAACATACAAGCTAGAAACCTGTTATGACGTTCTTTAGTTTTCGTTGTAGGCTCATAAGAGTTAAGACTCATTCTTCCAGTTTTATAGCTAATGCAAAATGTATCATTTGTGCCCTTCTCCACCAAGCAATACTGGCAAAAGAAATTATTTGACATTAATCATAGCCCAAATTCCATTCATATGTAAAAGGCATCCACTTTTTTTATTTCTCTTACTATCCTACTTTACTCATAATGTCAAGTGTTGGGTTCTCAATAGGCACGAGGGAGAGAATCAATTGTTGCTGGGTTTTATCATGAAGGTTATGAGGAACCACTTTTAATGCTTATGAGAAGAAGAGGTGTTCGTTCTGGTTTGGTGGTAAAGGTACTCAGCTCTTTAAAATCTTTTGTGACTGAACCCATAAAGAAACCTTTCCTTCTCTTGAAAATAGAAGAATAATCTAATATGGTTGGTGTAGGGTGAGGAAGGCGCCCTTTCAATGACAACAAGATTGAGATCATTGAGCTCATCAAAAGGCATCCCTGTGAATTACTGCTCAGGGTTCCGTTCGCTGAATGTAGCGCCTGCTTATGAAGCAGATGGTGTGTATCTTATAATGACCTTTTTTATTCTTTTTTCCTCTTATTTTTTTTCCCTGTTTAACCATTTATAGTTGGGGTCTATTGTTTGAATTGTGTACATATTTGAATGGCTAATGGCAGTATTTCCATGAAAGCATTATTGATAATTGAGCTCCTTGCATCATTGCATTGATTCTAAAATCTAGTTTCGATACTGCAGGTGTGTCACGTGAGAATTTCAATCTCGAGGTAAATGCCAAGGACTATGGCTTTGAACCCACTGATACTCCCAGAACTGATAGATCGGTAAGGTTCTAGATTCTGAAGTATTCTAGATTCTCTTTTTGTTGCCATCTCTTGTCTTCTTTGTTAGCTTATACCCTAGCTTTTGTCTGATGCAAATTTAAAAGAAACAGCACACCCAGGGGGCCAGGATTAAATTGCTCAAAATGATAAACAATTATGGCATACCTACAATAAGCCTATCTATCTCACTTCAATGCACATCAATTTTGTAATAAAAGCCCATGCTTTTCCATTCAATTGTGAAGTTGTTCCTTCAAGTTCTTTGCGTTGTGCATGCCATCATAATTAACAGTGAACTACTGTGAAATATTGTGACGGATTTGACATTTTTTAGTTATACCCATCATTCCATGTGATAATCAAATCTAGAGAAGGAAAAGGTAAAACACTTTATATTTTCAGGATTCTGATTTTGAACGTCATTTTTGGGATTCTAGATGTCTAATTGGGGTGCTCCCTCCAAAGAAGTTTTTAATCTAGTTGGTTTCTAATTGGTGTAAGAATCCAATTATTATTTTATTTTAGAAAAAGTTTTAAGTTTACTGGTATGGTTGGTTCAGGTTAAGTCAGGGGATTCTTTTTTTTCAATCCGGCTGCTTCTGTTTCTTTCTCAAATGGCTGTTTACTTGATTTTCTCTCTTGTACAAGCTTAGGTTTATGACAAGACTGACTAATGATGACATTTCCTTTGAAAAACAGGTTTCAAGGAATATAGAATTGGGTTTAGCAGCTCTACGTGGTGAGAAAGGCCCAGCATATGATCGAATCGTCTTAAATGCTGGAATGGTAGATCACTTACTTGGATGTGATGGTGCACAAGATATATCCTCGGCCCTGGATAGAGCCAGGGAGGCCATTGACAGTGGCAAGGCCTTAACCCGGCTTCTAAATTACATAAAGATCTCGCACAGATTGAAGTTGTAAAGTAGGTTTTCATAGGTGCTTGCCTCTTGTGTTTTTTTTTTTTAGAGGTGACTAGTGTAATTTTCAGAGTTACATAAATCAGTAAATGGGAGTGGGGAATAGAATACTTACAGTTTCTTGGGGGGTAATTTAGACAATTTGTTTCGGTAGTTACACTTGTTTTGGTCACTCTTGTAAGTGTTGCCCATGGGAACAATTTTGATTTTATGCTAGCAGGTGTCATGTATATCTATCTCCCAGCATGGAATCCTTTAGTGCTTTTTGTGTTTGTGCTTGTTCGAATCTTATAGATGGAAGTTGAATCATTTCAGAGTCATTTGCATTGGGTTGTGACGTAGCAAACCAGTGGTTAATTGTAGGTTTGAAATGCCTCTCTCTCTCTCTCTCTCTCTCTCTCTGAGTTTTGGTCACTCTTGTAAGTGTTGCCCATGGGAACAATTTTGATTTTATGCTAGCAGGTGTCATGTATATCTATCTCCCAGCATGGAATCCTTTAGTGCTTTTTGTGTTTGTGCTTGTTCGAATCTTATAGATGGAAGTTGAATCATTTCAGAGTCATTTGCATTAGGTTGTGACGTAGCAAACCAGTGGTTAATTGTAGGTTTGAAATGCCTCTCTCTCTCTCTCTCTCTGAGGGATGAGCATTCAAGCCTAATGTGAAGGCAGGCTGAGAGATTCTTGCAGTATATCTAAATCCTATTTAAAAGAGTGCTGATATTGGCACTTTATAAATTATTTTGAACTTCTCAATTTTTAGTTTTTTCTTTTTTATTACAATAATAATTTTAAATAAAATTATTACAAAGGATATCATTAATTTTGAGACATCTCCTTTCACAATTAAACCTAGGCTCACTATATCATAAATTAAGGTTTATGAGAGTATCCATCTCTATCACAACCTATCTATCTTCTCCAAATCCTACCTTCAAAATCCATCATCAAAACCTTGAAAACCCTTTAGCGGTATTATTCCTGTAGTAATAGTGGCAACCATTTGATTACCTATGCTTTTCCGGCAATGACAATGAGTGAAAGTTTTTTTAGCAATCACAACTTTATAAGACAAGAAGAGTACAACAATAAAAGTTTAGAAGAGGTTCGTAACTTTGACGTTGTTCTTAGCTCAGAAGAGATTGACCTTGTAAAGGTAAATTTCTTAAAAAAAATGGCATAAATAATAAAATGTGTTCGTCATTTTTTCAGGACTGAACTCCCGAATGTATTACCGAAATTAGGTAACACAGGCCCGAATATTGTTTATTTGTTCGGGAATCGGTAACTAAACATTTATTATTTGTTCAGAAACAGGTAACTGAGCATTATTCATAGGTTTAGACATGTTTTACTAAGAAAACTAAACCAATTATTATATTTTTTTTCTGTAAGAGAAGAAATTATTATGAGAAAACAGAGATTATGTGTGTATCTATATATATATATATATATATGATCGAAATACAGCACCCAAACCAACCATATAAAAAAAAAATGCATCCTAACTGAGAACACAAACATCAGTAAATGTTACCAAGCCCACAGACAACCGTCACAATTATTATATTTTTTTTTTCTGTAAGAGAAGAAATTATTATGAGAAAACAGAGATTATGTGTGTATCTATATATATATATATATAGAGAGAGAGAGAGAGAGAGAGAGAGCGCATACCAACTGTGACAATAGTGGATGAGGTAGCAGAAACAGTAATCATATTGCCTCTTCTTCTTCTTCGTGGACTTTGTTAGGATTTTTTGGAAGTGGAGTTTTTTGGAGTGTGGGGGTGTGCATTCAATGGGTGATAATTTTGTTATTATTTGGGAGGAAGAAATTTTAAGGGTTTTAAAATTTACAAGTAAGGATCCAAAGAAATGAGGAGTCTAAAATAATTTATGAAGTGCTAATAGAACCACTCATTTAAAATTAGGGGTGAATATAATAATTTTTTTTGAAAAACCCACCACTGTTTGTGCTAAAATATTTTTTGTAAATTTAAAAAATAATTTAATATTGTTTCCTAAAAGGTCTTTCCATGAAACTTTCTTGAAAACAATTTGTCAAATGGATTTTTGCATCACTTTCAGTTTTTTGTTTTTGAGAACAGAAGAGAAAACAAAAACGGTACAAAATGCACAATGTTTAAGGCATAACAACAATCACCACTGGGTCAAGTGGTAAAACCCATGTCGTATTTAACCCAAAAAACAAAAAAAAAGAAAAGAATAAAAGATATAAAACACAGAGAAAGGAAAACAAAATAAATATATAAAAGATCTAAAGCAACAACAGAATATCATTACATAAGTTTACTGCAAGAAGAGGAGGTTAATACCATGTAGAATATCATCATCCACAAGTTGTTTGTGATGCTAGATTATTGACATCCACATTCCCTTTGAAACTACTTCAAGGTTAGCATATTCAAATCCTTTCCGCTAAAAAAAAAAAAAACAACGCCCACTTAGTACACATTAATGTGTGTTTGGGAGGGTAAAGATTGAATCCACACCTAACCTTTGGCATAATACACAAAGTGGTGGGCCCAAGACTTGAACCCATAACCTCAAGGTTATTAGGTCAAGTCTAATTTACCAAAATGTTGTATGACTTTTATTACATTAATGAAACAAGATGAACATTAATAAATTTTCGCTGCATCTCAAGATCTCAACTCCCTTGTAGATAAAAATGAAGTGAGAGAACAAACCAACAAACACCTTCCATTTTAGAGTGTTAGCAATGGAATGCTTGGAACAACGGTTAAATCTGAAGGGCAGCCGCTATGGAACTGGCGAGGCTAAGAACTTCAAATGGAGCTCTGTTCTTCACTTCTCTGACTGTCATTGGGCACGAGTCTGTGATCCAAAAGTAAGTCAATCCATTCTCCGGGCACCCTGAAGAGAAAAAGAGAAACCAGAGGAGAAAAATGTGATAAAATTACACCATTGCTTGGAAGGGATAAGTATTAGCAATGTGTGGGCAAAAATGTCATTTGACCAAAGCTTATTAAAAGAAATGTCATTTGATCAAAATTTTAGCAATGTGTTGGATTCACTATTGTAGAGGATTTATGAATCTGATCCCCGAATCAAGAAACTTAAATTTCGTCAAATATTAAGAAACTTAAAATTCGATCAACAATTTCAAGCCAACCATTTAGTTTAATGGTGGTGAATGGACACGGGATTTTTCAAAACTATCAAATATGAAAAAGCATCACATGGTAATGGAATGCCTTCTATTCACTGTACTACTATATTTCAAACCAGGATGTGAAGGAAGATTCCCAAAATCAAACCTTCTTCAACATTGAAGATGGTGAGAGAGATGACTAACTACCAACCAATTTTCACAGAATTGTTGTATTAAGATGAATTTAGGAGCTTTCTGGTAATAAAAAGAGGTCAAATTTTGAATCTTGGTACTCCCTGTTAAATAATTAATTTCAAAGATATGTTCGTACCTCCATTATCATGTTTGAAGCGTTCCCATGACCTATTAGGAAAAATTCCATGCGTCACATAGGCACTGATTTTTGTTGCTCCATGTTTTGCCAACACTTTCTAAAAGAGTCAGAAATTCAGAAATTCAAAGGTTAGACACAACAAAGGTCAAAAATCTTACAAGCAGCTTATACCCATCTATATTGAGTATTGACCAAACAAAGGATTTTAATGAACTTCTACCATATACACGAATAATGACAAACATTGAAGAATAGTATGTTTCTTCGCTTTAGGACTAGATCAGCTCCACTAATAATGATAATCACTTCTTTGTTTTGTTTTGTTTTTTGTTGTTGTTTTTCTCCTTTCTACCCAATAAAATAAAATTTTTATAAATATATGTATATGTTTATTCCAGTCCTACTTATGAGGTGATTAAGAGTGACATGAAAGAAAAAACACTCATCAAAATGGAATACAAACAAAAAAAAAATTTCAAGGATTTTTGCACCTGGCATTCAATCAGAGTTCCACCCGACTGTACTAGGTCATCAACTATCACAACATGACGTCCTCTAGGGTCTCCCTCTTTGAGGCGTACAATCCGTTGATCACCTTCTCGAACTTTGGCGCAAACAATCTGAAAATCAACTATACAGTGGGTCATGTAGATGCACTATAAATTTTTATTTGTTTAACAATTGTTCTAGTGCGTACTTTTTCCATAAAAAAACTCTCTAAAAAAAAAAAACTCCATCTCGGGCCTCACCGTTGGCCAGCCGGCCGCCGCCTTTGGCCATGGCGGTTGGCTGGCCTAGCTTCCTCTCTTTGTGTTGTTGTTTTCTCTCCTAATAATCTTGAGCCCCCATTTGTATTCCGCTTTCCTCCTTTTCGGATCTAATCTCTAGATTTGTTTAGGGTTTATCTTTTCGTTTTTGTATAGGTTGCTTGTGTTCGTAGGTTTTCTTTGGGGCTTTTAGCTGATTATTCCTTGGGTTTTGGTGTTCTGGGAGCTTTGTTGGGTGGTTTTGGAGGGTTCTTTTCTCGATTGAAGTGGTTCGGTGGTAGTGCTTCGGCCATGGTGTTCAGTTTCGGCCATGGGTTTCGGTTTAGGGTGGATGCATTGACCAAGGGTGGGTTGGTTCACGATCTTCATTCGGGCACTTCGCTGCGAGGAGGGAGTTTAGGGGTGGAGGTTCCAGAGTTGTTTAGGAGTTTAGGATCTTCATTCGAGCGCTCCGTGCGAGTGGGAGTTTGAGGGGTGATTTCCGTTCAATCCTATGGTGGTCGATGTTTGTGTCCGGTTAAGCTTGAAGAGGAGAGTGACGCAAGAAGAGGCTGTCGATGTTCAGAGGCAAAGCAAAGTAGTTTTGGTCTCGGGTGGTTCTCGATGGTGAAGCAAGAAGAGGTTGTCAATGTTGCTAGGTGTCTGCAATGGAGGGTGTTGTTCGGGTCACGGAGAAGAGGTGAAGGAAGCAAGAGGAGGTGAGTGAATGGTGCAAGAAGAGGCTGTCAAGTATGGAGGTGAAGCAAAGGAGGTTCGGCCATGGGTGGTCCACGACGGGAATGGAGTCTGAGTGTCCGGCAAGTATGGAGGTTGAGTGTATCAAGTGTGTATCAGTGTATCAAGTGTGTATCAGGCGTGGGGTTCAAGAGGCGTGGGGTGTTCCACGAGTCAGTAGCTGTGGTTTAGGTGGGGTGTTTCAGTGTAGCTGAGGTTTTGGTGGGGGCTCAAGTGTGGTTTATTTTATTTTTTAGTTGTCTTTTAAAATTTAAAATCGTGAGGCTTAGGGGTTGGTTGTAAGAACGCGAGTAGCAGTAGTAGGAGAGTGAGTATTTACTCTTCGAATCTCTCTTAATGCGTTTTATTTCCTTGTACCTGTAATTTCATATTTTTAGTGAAATTTTTCTTTGCCGACCAAAAAAAAAATGTAGATGCACTATAAAGTAGGACGTTAAAAATCAATAAAGGTCTAATAAACGTGATTCAGCTAAGGCGATAACATATTTGGTAAAGACACAAATACATAAAGACACAAATACATGTTCCTAAGCAACTTTTGATACATAAAAATCAAATGATTACATCGGTTTTAATAACCATTCGAAGTAGAGAAGAGAAGGTAGCAACGCAATATGTAACAATGTAAAAAAAATATGCAAGCAAAATTAAACTGAAAATGGAATTAATTCCTGGAGATGTTTTTATAAATTTGATGTGTAATCGATAAGTTGATAAAGGATCTAGAACATCCCTATTATGATTAGGAACAATACCATTGGGAAATGCTGCAGCTGCTTATGAAACCGTTTCCATGCACCATCATCTGGAAAAGCAATCGATATCTAGAGAGAGAATGAAAACAGGACCTCTGTCACAGATTTAAAAGAACCTATAAAGCAATTAATATCATCATCTAACCTCCACAAGCACACAATTCTGGATGCAGCAGGGGGAAATTTGATATTTTGCCTATATGTGTGGGTTCATTTTAACACTTGGGGTTGTTTGTTAACACTTCTATTTCCTGTATTCTTTTTCATTTTCATTACAAATATATATATATATATATAAATAAACAAATAAAAAAAACTTGTTTTTTGCTTTTTGTAAACAGAAATAGGAAACTGAACAAACGACCCTTAGTCTTTAGTATTTCATGCCAGGGTGCACTTCATTGTAACATTGGTTTGTAGAAGTAAAAACTAATTACAAACACTTCATTTCCAAAAAAATTAATTCCAAACAAATGATAGATTATCTTATGGTTTTCGTCATAAGAAGAAATCTTACATTGTCTGAATCGGGGAGCCCCTGAAGCCTATTCTTGAGCATAGGAATCCCGCTCTCAAAGCATGGTAAAACATTGTCGCCAAAGTAGAATCGCTCCTGAAATACAAGAAAACAAGGAGACAAAGAAGCTAGAGTAATCACAATCCCATATCAGTTGAGGATAGCATGGAAAAGACTGTCAAATCAGTGACACCAGTATATTCAGCACCAACCTGCAATGCATGGATATCAAAAATCACCAAACTAGTGGGCCCTCCCCTTGAAATCGGTATATTAGACAAGATTGTGGCAAGAGTGAAAGCAGTTGCAACATCCCCTTCCTCCTCCATGCGCTCAGAAGTACCCGTGGGGAAAAATGGAAGGACAAGTGTGAATGAGGAGACAAACAGCTTTGGTAATGCATAGATAACAGAGAGTTGCTCAAAAATCACCCCTGGAGAACTAAATGAGGCAAGAAAGGCCACGTGTTGTCCACGAATGCCGTGGGCATTGGATATGAACAAGTTGGGGAAACCATCATCGAATGTCCTGAAGTATTAAGAATACCTTCAATTTCATAACTTGCACATGGACAAAGTGAATCAAAATTAAAGCAAAACTCTAGCAAACAAACTCTTCTTCCACTTCTTCCTTTTTCTGGGTAACATATATTGTATTCCTAGTATATTTTTCAGTGGTAAAAAAGTGGAAAAATTGTTACATGACATTAGAAGATGAACAAGGCCCAGACCTCAAAAACAGAAGGATTTTAGACATTTGTTAAGATGCTTAAAATAGTTGTACATTTTTTTTATGACAGTATGTGTCATAAAGAATGTACAATCAATTTAAATTGTATTAACTAAAGACACAAGGACACTCATTAACGAGAACTGAAACAGATATCTCTATAAGAAGCAAGTGAATTGAAAACATCCTGTTCTAGGATCTTGGAGAAGGTGAGGCATCACATTAGGCATTGCTTCAATTGAACACCTCAAGCAAGGAAATCACAGCCTTTCCCACAATTTATGTAATTTACATAAATGAGCCATCTTCTTTAAGGTATTGTTTGGTTCACTGCCGGTAGAATGGAATGGTAGTCTCCCTATGGAATGATCATTCTCTTCTAATATGTAATAATGATTCATTTGCAATACAATTTCCATCACTTTTAAGCTAATCAAATATGAGAGAATGAACATTTTGATATAATAATCATTTCATCCTACCTTCATTCCATTTTCATTCAAGTGAACCAAACACTATCTCTACGGGTAAAGAATGATGTGTTCTGTTTTCCTTTCACATCGAGCTAAAATGCCCATTATTGTGGCTTATAATTTATATAAATAAATAAAAAAATGTCACTCTCGCATCATTCTGAACAAGATTTTGGTATAAAAACTCTCTGTTTGTAGATGATTTTCCTTGCTGTAATTAAACTGGTTATATATAATCATGGCCTACAGAAATCAAATTCCAGAGTCTTTCTATAACAATGAATCAGTCTAGATGAGAATCTACCTCCAGGTAATGCTACGAAGCTCAATGGCGTCAGATTCGGAGGCGATTCTCTCAGCCAAACCCTTCATCTCGGCACAGTAGAACAAGCACACTTTCTTGGAGCTCGTCACAGGCGAACCCAAAGCAGCGTTGGAAGCCATTGGAATGGAAGAATGAAGTGGCTTGAGAATGATGTGAATCGGATCGCTTCCGGATACGCAATCAATGGTCCAATTTTGAGGGTTATCGAAGCTACCAAGCTCGCATTGAATCCGATTCTTGACAGAAAATCGAAGCTTTTGAGGGTTTGGAAACAGAGAAGACGAAGAAGAGGGTTTTAGGGTTTTGATGGGGTTTTTGGATGGAGATGAAAGTGGTGGTAGAGTGGTTGACATACGGTGGTTGATAATGGCGGTGGTGGGGGTGTGTTATGGTTACGATCTTCACTGCGCGCGGAGTGGAGATAACTGTCGGGACTTTGTTTCCATTTATACCCCTGCCTCATGTTTTTGAGTTTAGAAATTATGAAGAAAAAAGATAAAATTGAACTTGGAATTGAATCAGCATCCTTGAATTGTTGGTTACATATAATTTAGACTTTGAACCTGAATTGTTACATATATTTTTTTTTGAAAAGAAATTGTTACATATAATTTAATTTTTTATGTCCTCTGTAAGTGTCGATTTGACTTCCTTCAATGAATTTTCTTTTGATAAAAAAAAAAAATTAATATACTTTTAAAAAATATGTTTGAAATCCCTAATAATTTTTTTTTATAATTTTAGCCACCATAATGTAAAATGATAGATGTTAACTTTTGATTTATTACATATTTAATTATGTGAAGCTCTACTTTCTTACCACATCATTGAGAATATTATTTGGAGTTCTTATTATAGAAAATAAAATAAAATTGAACTTGGAATTGAATCAGCATCCTTGAATTGTTGGTCACATATAATTTAGACTTCGAACTTGAATTGTTACATGTATTTTTTTTAAAAAGAAATTGTTACATATAATTTAATCTCTTATGGTCTTTGTAAGTGCCGATTTGACTTCCTTCAATGGATTTTCTTTTGATAAAAAAAAAAAAAAGTTAATATACTTTTAGAAAAAATGTTTGAAACCCCTAATAATTTTTTTATAATTTAAGCCACAATAATATAAAATGATAGATGTCAACTTTTGATTTATTACATATTTAATTATGTGAGACTCTACTTCCTTACCACATCATTGAGAGTATTACTTGGAGTTCTTGATGTAGAAAATAAAATAAAATTGAACTTGGAATTGAATCAGCATCCTTGAATTGTTGGTCACATATAATTTAGACTTCGAACCTGAATTGTTACATGTATTTTTTTAAAAAAAGAAATTGTTACATATAATTTAATCTCTTATGGTCTTTGTAAGTGCCGATTTGACTTCCTTCAATGGATTTTCTTTTGATAAAAAAAAAAAAAAGTTAATATACTTTTAGAAAAAATGTTTGAAACCCCTAATAATTTTTTTATAATTTAAGCCACAATAATATAAAATGATAGATGTCAACTTTTGATTTATTACATATTTAATTATGTGAGACTCTACTTCCTTACCACATCATTGAGAGTATTACTTGGAGTTCTTGATGTAGAAAATAAAATAAAATTGAACTTGGAATTGAATCAGCATCCTTGAATTGTTGGTCACATATAATTTAGACTTTGAACCTCAATTGTTGCATATATTTTTTTTGAAAAGAAATTGTTACATATAATTTAATCTCTTATGCTCTCTGTAAGTGCCGATTTGACTTCCTTCAATGAATTTTCTTTTGATAAAAAAAAAAAATTAATATACTTTTAAAAAATATGTTTGAAATCCCTAATAATTTTTTTTTATAATTTTAGCCACCATGATGTAAAATGATAGATGTTAACTTTTGATTTATTACATATTTAATTATGTGAAGCTCTACTTTCTTACCACATCATTGAGAATATTATTTGGAGTTCTTATTGTAGAAAATAAAATAAAATTGAACTTGGAATTGAATCAGCATCCTTGAATTGTTGGTTACATATAATTTAGACTTTGAACCTGAATTGTTACATATATTTTTTTTTGAAAAGAAATTGTTATAAATTATAAATATTAATGATTAAAATTATAAACTTTTCAATAAATATATAATTTTTTTTCTTGATTAAAATGCGATGCAATTATCCCAAGAAAATAAGGTAACATGCTCTTTTCAAAATTAAACAAGAAATGGAAGCTTATAAAATAATTGCAGTTAGGTGCTTTTTGTTAGGACAAAACTCCTCACTCTTGCCCCGTTTGTTTTGGAAAATAGAGGAATGATTGAGATTAGGATTGAGGTGAGACCTACTAATATTATATTTATTTTGAGAAATAAAGAGGGGATTCATAATCACCTTCGGATTAAGATGGACCTTGGGACTTGGTATTAGAAAATAGTCTACCGGACTTTTTTGTTTTTGTGAACATTAATGTTTAACTTTTTGTATTTTTTGTTAAGTAAAAATTATAGTTTTATTTTATATTTTTTAAATGTTGGGCATTTTTTATGAACATTAATGTTTAATGTTTTTGTATTTGTTTTATTATTTTATATAAAAATAATTTAACAATTCCTACAGTAATAACTATCATCAAAACAAACAAAATTTTACTTAATCCCTTTACTATCAATCCCATCCATTCTACTTCTAAAAACAAATGAGCCCCTTGTGCTATTCCAAAGCCATCTCCTACTCTTCTTTATTACCACCACCATCATCCTCATCGTTCCAATTCCTTTTTATCCCAACGATCAACGTTATCTACTTAATTTTTAGCTACCTAAATCCTACAAACCACACTCTCAAATTGTCATTGTTGAGATCTCAAACCCTAATCATGTTGTTACAAATAACATTTAGTGTGCAGGTATTCCTTATGTTCAATACAAGTGTAACATGTGGGTGGAAGGAGAGGGTTTGGAGTAGTGTGAGAGTGATGAGGCAGTGCGAGAAGGGATTGGAGTGGTGGTAGCAGGAAAAGGGTTGAGAACAGAAAGAAATGATGCATGGTGGTGGTGGGGGAAGGGTTTGCAATTGTGGCTAGTGCGGAAAGACCATTAAAAATGGATGAAGCCAATTTTAACGACTATTCAATTAATTAAAATAAATAAAGTCAATATTCTTAATTTTACATGTCATCACAGCCTATTATTATAAATTTAAAAATACATGAACTTTTCTAATCATTCAATTAATTAAAATGAATCAAGTCAATGTTCTTAATTTTGCATGTCATCACAGTATATCATTGTAAATTTAAAAATACATGAACTTTTCTAATCATTCATATATTTCTAAACCTTTCATTTTTTTTTTCTCTTCTAAAACTGTGCAAAAATTTTTTTTTTTTTGGGCCCATGTATTAGTAAATCAAATTTTGTTGTATTTATAATACTACAAAAAAATCTTATTAGATAAACCAAGTCCCATTGCCATTGGTCATTACTCCGAAAAAATAAGGGCAAATTACATATACACCCCTCGAGGTTTGGCTAAATTACAGATGCCCCCTGAGGTTTGAGAAATTACGAATTCCCCCCTGAATGCTATATTTGCATAAGAAATTAGGGGGTAATTTGTTATGAAATATAAACCTCAGGGGGCAAATTGTTATGAAAATACAAACCTCAGGGGGCGGGATGTAATTTCCGAAACTTCAGGGGGTATCTGTAATTTAGCCAAACCTCGAGGGGTGTATATGTAATTTGCCCAAAAAATAAATAAATAGTCAAATTAATAAAAATGAAGGCTAGGCTAGGCTAGGCTAGGCCTGGAGTAGAAAAAAAAACTGCTCATTACATTTACAATTCAACAATGATTCATCCCACTAAAAACATCACCACTAATAGCACTAATGTATTAAAAAAGTAAAAAAAAAAAAAAAAAAATAACTCCAAGACCAAAACATCACATCATTAATGGCGGGACCCACTGCCACCTAATTAGTGGGAGCACTAATGAGTGCTTCCAAGCATTTTTCATCATATATATATATATATATATATATATATATTATTAAGGTAAATTACAAAAGTTTGGCTTCCTTCAAGTTTGACATAGATTGGAGAGTATTGTTAGACAGAAAAAGACCAAGGTAGAGAACCCAAGCTCGTAGCTTTGAAGCTCCACCACACTTGGTGCACTAGATTTATCCCCAAGCTCTTCTCTTCGTACGAAGGGAATGTCAAATAATCCATCTACCCACTTTCAGTGGCTGTGGTGTTGCCTCTCAATTCATGTGATGCCACATTGCCACATAAATATAGATTATTCTCACTCTGTCTATCACAACAAGACTCTTCAATCTTTACCCGAGACTTGCACACCCAAACACCTGGCACAAACTCGATTCGAGTTCTCACAAGCGAAGTCCAAAAGTACCCTATTAGACGCTTGATTGGTACGATTCGATTGGGTTTTTTGGTTAGGTTCTAAATGGGTTTTTAATCCGCTTTGAATTACGATTTTCTTCTTTGTTTCTTCATTCTTCCCTAATTTCTCACTGTTTGATTCAATTTTCATTTATCTGTTAAATGGGTTTGTCTTAGTTCAATCGTTTATTAATATGCGTTATGTCATTGATCTGTCAAAGTTCGTTCAGTTCCAAATATTTGTTTTTGCTTCTTGTTCAGAGCTCGAATTCAGTCTTGGGTTTGGATGGTTTCAGTGTCACATGCATTGGTTTCTATCTCTTGCTGATCTGTACTTTCTGCATGCTTTTCTTCCAAGAAGTTTTGTAATTTTAATGTCTGTATGGTTTTAGTCTTCCTTTTAAATGATTTTAGTCTCTTTATGATTTTAATATCTGTATTCTAGGAAAATGATGGATTATAAAATTTGAATTTTGTGCTTGGATTTTGGGATAGTAGAGTAGAACATGAATCAATATGAAAAATATATAGATTTGGCATACCCATGTTTAATCAAATTTTCATGCTAAATTATTGTTGATTCTTGCAAAACATGTGAAAATTCTCAGGTTATGAACTGAGTTCATTGGTTGCTGTTTGTCCTCCTGCCTATAATCTGGGTAATTTGGGTGGTGTTAATTGGACGATATCTATTCCATCATGTTACCTAAGGCATTGGACTATGAGTCATTGAATGAAAATGTGAAGAAGGTTCAATATGCTGTTCGAGGTGAGCTGTATCTTCGAGCTTCTGAGCTTCAGAAGGAGGGAAAGAAGGTATAGACATCTGTTCTATTGGAATCATTCTATTGGGATTTCATGAATTGTGCTTGTGTATGCATGCATGTATGTATTTGTCTCTGCTTTTTCTTTGATAACGGGGCAATGATGCTCTTGATTTAATTGTTTACTTTGAGGTTATATTTCCTAATCCTTCCACTCTGTAGCATGTTGAACTTTTATATTTTGTTATGGATTTTTCTCATCAGTGGAGGGTCTGCAACTAGATTTATTTTTTTCCCCTAACAATTGTTTTCTTATTCAATGAAATGGCCCAACTCTTGACTTGACTGGCACTAGATAATCATATATACCTCAGAAGTTTTTGATTTTAATCCCTTTGTAGATATTCAAAAAATTTGTCTAGATTGCTGTTTAGTGAGTTTTCCAATTGCTGTAGTGCACATCAATGCGCTAGTAGCTGTCACTCTGTTATGATTTTATTTTGATACGTACATTTATTTATCTCAAGTTTTTATATGATTAAGGAATCCATGGAAAGTTTTTTTTTTTTTTTTGTTAGAGTAACTCCCTGGAAAATTTTTGACATTAGAGGGCAAGGATATATATGTTTTTCTTGTGAATGCATTAAGTAATTTGTTTTTTTGACTATTTGAGTATATTAATTTGCTCAAGATGATTCTATTTTGGAAATTGCAGCTCTTTCTTCTCCAACTCATGTTCTTCCTGTTTCATCATTTCAATTATTCTCTTGCAGATTATTTTCACAAATGTTGGTAACCCTCATGCCCTAGGACAGAAGCCACTGACTTTCCCTCGTCAGGTTCGATGCAATTGCAATTCTCTGTCTGATCAATTCATATTTTTTAAGAAAACCTTCCCTATTCGTCCAATTTTATAAACTCAAATTGTTTGGCTTGTGCACGAGACTATTGCATGTAGTTGATATTACATCAACAAATACTTTATTGCAGGTGGTTGCTCTATGCCAAGCTCCGTTTCTACTGGATGATCCTAATGTTGGACTTGTATTCCCTGCGGATGCAATTGCAAGAGCTAAACATTATCTTTCATTGACTTCGGGGGGTCTAGGTATCCTCTCGTCTCTATGTTTTAATGGATATAGATCGGAATGTTTTAATTTACACCATTGTATAGCTTTTCAAGAACATTCTCTCTCTCTCTCTCTCTCTCTCTCACACCTGCTTTTTAATAAGTTGCTTTATAAAATAATTAGGTGCTTACAGTGACTCAAGAGGCCTTCCTGGAGTAAGGAAGGAAGTAGCAGAGTTCATTGAAAGGCGCGATGGGTATCGAAGGTGAATATTGACAGTTGAATATTGTATTGAATATTGATTTGAAATAAAAGTGTTAATATTGCCTCGTGCCTCAATGACAGTGATCCAGAACTAATATTTCTCACCGATGGTGCTAGCAAAGGAGTAATGCAGATCTTAAACACTATTATCCGTGGTGAACAAGACGGGGTAACTAACATTCCCAGGACTTTATAAACATGATTTTGGTACTTTTGTGCTATTTGACTTTGTAATGTTTCCGAAAATGTATTTGATAATAAACTCTGATGTGTTGCCAGATATTGGTGCCAGTTCCACAATATCCACTTTACTCAGCTGCAATATCTTTATTTGGTGGTTCTCTTGTTCCGTATTACCTGGAAGAGACAGCAAATTGGGGTCTTGATATTAATAACCTTCGAGAGTCAGTTGTACAAGCTCGCTTTAAAGGAATAACTGTAAGAATGTTTTTTTTTTTTGCATGTTTGTTAAGGAAAAGTGTAGGAAATATTTGCGAAACCAAGATGATTTTGGCAAATTACAATAACCTTCCATAAGGTATGGAGAAAATACAGTAGGTCTCACAGTTTTGATATAATTACATTGAGCTCCCTTAAAGTTTTAAATCACATAACACTTCACTTTTTTACAATAATTTGTTAGCCATGTGGATGGTAAAACAATGTTGTCTCTTTTATATTGAAATCTATATTTTTCTTTGTTTATTCTTGTCTCTGCACCAACTTGGACAAGTTTAACAATAGGTTATTTTAGCCAAAAAGCCCAAAAGTCACTACTAAAAGTCAACAAAAAGTCAACTCTTCTCTCTATTTTTCTGCATGTATTTTCGTAAAAAATCAAAAAACCAACTAAAATAGCTAGTTCCCAAAACAAACCCTCTGAGTCTAGGGTTAGTCCACAAATAATAACTTCCTAATCTTTCTTCTTGGTACATGATTTATTGGCTGAAGTCCTGACAACTATTTTCAGTTCCATGTTCTAATCTTCATATCCTTGTTGTATATAATCAGGTAAGAGCAATGGTAATTATAAATCCCGGAAATCCTACTGGACAGTGTCTTAGTGAAGCTAATTTGAAAGAAATTTTACGGTTCTGTTACCAAGAAAACTTAGTCTTGCTCGGGGATGAAGTATATCAGCAGAACATTTACCAGGATGAGCGCCCCTTCATAAGCGCAAGAAAGGTATATATTCTTATGCTGTTAGATCAATGATGTCCCCAAGTTAAGTTTCCTCTGAGAGACTGACATTATAAATTATGCTTTAATTTTTTCGTATACTGGAAGGTTCTGTTGGACATGGGCCCACCCATAAGCAAGGTGGTCCAGCTTGTTTCTTTTCATACTGTGTCCAAAGGATATTGGGGTGAATGTGGACAGCGCGGTGGATACTTTGAGATGACTAACATTCCTCCACAGGTTTGCCTTGCTGTGATTTGCTAATGTCTTCCATATGATTCTTCAATTGCAAGCAAGTCTCTCTCTCTCTCTCTCTCTCTCAGAGAAAGATTTTTTTCTTTTAGAAAGCAAAGATTGTTTAGGAAAGGCATCGAAAGGAGATGCCATCTGTATACGAAGGGAAAAAAAGAAGGCAGAAAATACAAAAACAAGATGTCCACCTTCTCAAGTATTAAAACACTTAAAAAGTTAAAAATTGTTTGTGTAGGATTTACAACCCCTGTCCCAGCTATACAAAATATTCAAAAATCTACTCTTCAACCTATATAAAGGCTCTCTTTGCTCTCAATAGCCCACTTTAGACAAAGGAATCAAACACCTAGCCTTCTTCTCCCCATTCTTGACTCTCCCCTCATTCCAACTATAAAGATCTATCACAGTATCACTACATAAAGGAACATTCACTGAATCGTGAACATGAATAAAGCCAATGGCCTGAGCTCTTTAGCGCATAGCAATGAATGAGAAGATGGTTATTGCCTTCTAGGAATTAAATATTTTTGCGAAGTATTCTCTCATATATTGAGATTTTGAGCATCAAAATAGAACCATGTGGGAAGTATAGAATTGGCTTGAGTTTGGAATTTATGGAAAAAGTTGTGAATAAATGTTACGATGTAATTTAATAAAAGCTCCCAACATTTAGTTTTTTATTTTCTTTTCTCTAGTCACTTCCTCATGAGATACTACTGTTTCAACCCACACACGAACAAATACTTTTTCTTTTTTAAGAATGACAGTCTTCTTCCCCTTGGAGGATGGACCCAAGCTCAATATAACAATTGATAAGAGTATGTATGTGACACATGTATACATGTACTGAGGCACTTTTTCATCTTTATCATCCAATTTTGCAGACAGTAGATGAAATCTATAAGGTGGCATCAATATCACTCAGTCCAAATGTCCCTGGGCAGATATTTGTAAGTTGAAATCCAATCATTTGGTTGAGTGTCATTGAGGAAGCAAAATTTGTTTGCTTAAAACATTATTAATTCATGTTCATATGTCAAGAATTTTTATGCTTCCACAGAATTAGGTAGCCCCTGTTTCTTCTATGTAAACTATCATGTCTGCTGAGAAAAATACTTTTCTTTTGCAGTTAGGGCTAATGGTCAACCCACCTAAACCAGGAGATATCTCTTACGATCGGTTTGTTAGAGAGAGGTAAACTGATTTTCAATTCCATTTAAGTTGGTTTCTCTATTATTAATGAAAAATGAAGAGAGTAAACCTTAATTCTTTTTTCAAGCATTTTCTTGATGATTAATCCTCACCACGGTTATTTGAGTGTCAATGCATTCTGTTGCCACCATTTCATATAGTTCTTATAACTGAATGTTAGTGTTTTAAAGATCATTATTTTTGTTTTTGTTTTTTCTTTTGGTGCGGGTGGGGCACGACAAACTTCTTGAAAAGCACGGTCTTAGCACAAATATTACTTCAATGCTAAATTCTAGTGTGATATGGCTCTTTCTAGCAGTGAACAATTGTATTTCTCTTAAACAAATGCAGCAAAGGTATCCTCGAGTCTCTGAGGAAGAGAGCACGAATAATGACCGATGGATTCAACAGCTGCAGAAACGTGGTTTGTAATTTCACAGAAGGTGAATAATTTTTCATTCAAATATCAGTTTTTTTATTTTTATAAAATTTATTCTCATTCATGGGTAAATGGTTCAGGCGCCATGTATTCTTTCCCACAAATACGCTTGCCACCAAAAGCGATAGAGGCTGCCAAAAAGGCTGGAAAAGTTCCTGATGTCTTCTATTGTCTCAAGCTCTTGGAAGCCACGGGCATCTCCACTGTCCCAGGTTCAGGATTTGGGCAAAAAGAAGGGTAACTACTTATCTTTTTTGGTTCATCATTTTGGAGGCCGCTTCCCTATAGAACTTCTCACACAAAACTACCTTTTTGAAGCATTTTCTTTTATAACCTTGTTTTTTCATTCGTTCTATTAGAATACTTGGAATTCATATATTTTCTTGATTGTCTCATTCATATGCACTAGTAACAATTTTTCCCGTGTAAGAACTAAGCTGTATTTGTTCCGGGTCTAGTGTTTGGTTCAATAAAAAACGAAAGCCACAGCAAAAAAAGCTTATTTGGGTGAAAATATTTTACACTTTTGAAAAGTGGAAAATGTTTTTGGGACTTTAGGTTTTACTAATTTTACCACCACCCACTACTGCCTTCACCCGCCCCTCCCCTCTAATATAACAGCTATAACATTAGTTTCAAGGTCATAACCAGACACAAGAAAAATATTTTCTGGAACAAGTTTTCAGTTATTTTATTTTTTTCTAGATTCAGCCGAAACAAAAAGAGCGTAAACTACCAATTTACTATCTATTTATGGAAGATACTTGTGTTGTGTGCTTAACCTCTTGCTTCGATTTTCTGATGGATTGTCATTCATTCCTGTATAGGGTCTTCCACTTGAGAACAACCATCTTACCGGCTGAGGAAGACATGCCTGCGATCATGGCCAGTTTCAAGAAGTTCAACGACGAGTTCATGGACCAATATGAAGACTACAGAGGCTATTCGAGGATGTAAGTGATGTCTCTGAACTGTCTAATTCGTACAATTCTCTTCTGTTGGTGGGAAGCTATTTGATGTACACCTCTCAAACACTCATCCTTTTTCTCTCCCAATTTCTTTCTGTTGAAAATTTGGTTCTTGTATCCAACTGATCACTTTAATAGGTATTACAGAGATGACTTTTTACTTTTAACGATGGATGTGAATGGAATGCTAGATGAAAAAAGTGATTTAAGCATGTACAAAGTTTAAAGAGGGATTTCTCATATGGGTTTCTCTTTAAAATTGTTGTTTGACCTCTTATTGCCAGTCTCTGTTTGGATAGTGATATCTTTCAATGTTTCAATCGTTTCAGCGAAAAATATTTTTTTGTGAAATTAAAATAAAATAAATTTGTATGAAACTTTTTCTTGAAAATGTTTTCGGAATTGGAAGAGCTTTTTTCTATGTTTGGTTGCTTTCTTAATACTAATGCACTTAGTAGTTGTATTATTAGTGGCGGGTTGGTGGTGATGGAGGTGTGATGGTGGGTCGGCGGTGACATTGTGGTGGTGGCGGTGGTAGTGTGGTAGCATTGGTATCACTTTAGTCGGGAAAATGTTTTTCACTTTTTAGAAGTGAAACATTTTTTGCCCAATTAAACTTATTTTTCATTGATCGGAAAAAATGTTTTTCTTTGTACCAAATGTTAGAGAATGTTGAATTTTTTTTTTCTTCATAATATCTAATATCTACTAGTGATTGTGTTAGTGTTAGTGAAGGTGGAGGAGGAGGAAGAGTTGACTAGCTTGGAGCACACCATAATGTTTTAAAACTATTAAATAATTACTCTTGAACTGAATTTGGTCTCAATTTTATTTTATTTTTTCATAATGTTGGTGATAATTACAACTAAAATATCAGAAAATACAAATAATAAAAGTTACAATAACTATTATAAGGGCTGAGACGCGGGAAATTCGTTCTCTTTAAGAAGATTCAAACTCTCTGCGGTTACGCAAAGTCTCGCACCGGTGTAGCAGAAAAAACCTTGACTTGTCTCCCTAGGATACAACAGCCCGACTAAGTCGTATGGTTCACTAATACTGCACAATTGGTTGAATCCAAAGCTTTATTACATACACTCTTTTTTATTTGCCTGATAATCTCACACAAGACATAATAAAGCAACCAAAACTTCTTCACTCTACCAAGATAAGAAGATAGCTCAATATACATAGGAGAGAAAGCTTGAAGGGTTATTCTTGGTGGATAAGAAAAGGATGGAGACTTGACTTGATTTGGCGGATGGAGACTTGACTTGACTTGACTTGGCGAAGACTTAGAAAAGAAGACTTGAAGGATTCTTGGAGGAAAAGAAAACAAATCAAACCAATAACACATTATAATATTAAAATATCTGCTAACATTCTCCCACCTATTTTAATATTATAGGTAACAAAAACTGAGATTATTAGGCAAATAAGGATATTATGCATCATGGTAGGTGTGCTCTGCATTGAACCTCTATTAGTAAAACAATAATATCTACTCCAGAGCCAAAAGTATGCTCAGCATTGAATTATGACTGCTTAAGGGAAATAAATAATTATTGCACGCACATAATATTCCAGGTGTTCACATAAGCTTTAAAGGCCAGCACATTACGGCCTTGTGCGATCTCAAGATTCATGAATGTGTTTGAGAATTAGCCCAAATCTCATAGGTAGTGGCCCCACTACCACACTCACATAAGTGAATTTTGTCAAGGATGCTCCTGTAACTATGACACCCCACTCAATAAGAGTTACAGAAATTCATTAAAAGTTTTTTAATAACTCAACCTGTATAACGTTACAGGATAAATGCACTTACATCATAGGGTTGGGTAAAAAGTAATTAGTGCATTTCTTACGGCCATCATATGATCGTTTTTCTGATTAAACCCAGTTACAGGATCTCTGGTCCCTGGGTTGAGTATCCTCATACATGGCTTCTACTATATTCAATGGGCTTTAACCCTATCCCCCTCGATGTATTCCAGACTCTATCTCTTGCTAAGGCCTTAGTTAATGGATCTGCAAGATTATCACCAGATTTAATATAATCCACATTTATGATGTCATTATTCATATAAGATCTCACAGTTTTGATAAGTCTGGATTTACCGTTATAATAACAGTTATTAACTCGACCATTTGCTGCAGTGCTATCGCAATGAATCAATATAGGTGGAATTGGTTTTTCCCAACAAGAGATTTCATTTAACAAATCTCTTAACCAATTTGCTTCTTCACCGGCTGTAGCTAAAGCAATAAGCTCAGCCTCCATTGTTAAATTAACAATAATGGTTTGTTTTTTCGATTTTCAATTTATAGCACTACCTCCCAATGTAAATAAATAACCAGTAGTTGATAATGAATCATTTGACAAAGTATTCCAATCGGCATCACTGTAGCCTTCAAGTACTGCAGGATACTTATTATAAAACAAGCCATATTTTATGGTACCAGATAAATATTTCATAATACGCTTAATGGCTAGCCAGTGATCACTGCCAGGTTTGCTAGTAAACCTGCTAAATACTCCAACTGCATAGGAAATGTCAGGTCTAGTACAGTCAGTCGCATAACGCAAACTACCAATCATACTAGCATATTCCTTTTGATTAATTACATCCTCATCATTTTCAATAGGAAATAAACGCACATGAGGATCGAAAGGAGTAAGAACATGCTTGCACTTATAAAAATTATATTTTCTCAAAATTTTCTCAACATAATGCGACTGATCAAGAAATATACCATCACAAATTTTGGAAATTTTTATTCCCAAAATATAATTAGTTTCACCAAGATCTTTCATATCAAAATGGCTACTAAGTATATTTTTAGTTTTCACGATGATATGCAAATTAGAGTCAAATATAAGTAAATCATCTACGTAGAGGCTAATAATGATATGTGAATTTTCTTCAGATTTATAGTAGATGCATTTATCACATTCATTTGTTTTATAGTCATTCTTAATCATGCAGGAATCAAATTTCTCATGCCACTGTTTAGGGGCCTGTTTTAAGCCATATAGGGATTTAACTAGCTTGCACACTTTGCTTTCTTAACCGGGTTCCACAAAACCCTCAGGTTGATCCATATAGATTTCTTCACCCAGGTCTCCATTTAAAAATGTCATTTTAACATCCATTTGATGAATCTTTAAATCATGAATTGCAGCCACTGCAATTAATAATCTAATGGATGTAACTCTAGTAACCGGAGAAAATGTATAAAAAAAGTCAAGATCTGCTTGTTGTTTAAAATCTTTTGCAACAAGCCTTGCTTTATATTTATCAATAGTTCCATCCGGTTTAAGTTTTTTTTTCTCAAAACCCATTTACAGCCAATAGTTTTATAACCTGGTGGTAAATTTACCAATACCCAAGTTTTATTAGATAATAATGATTCTATTTCATTATTTACAGCCTCGTTCCAAAAAACAGAGTCAGGAGATGCCAAAGCTTCTTGTAAAGTTAATGGAGTTTCCTCCACATTAAAAACATGATAATCAAGGCCAAAATCTTTTTCTAATCTACAGTGTCTTGGTTTTGTAAAAGAGGAGTAGAGGAACCAGTTTCAGATAAAATATTTTCTTGAAAATTTTGACCCCCACCATTTTTAGATTTAAAAGGAAATTTTTCTTCATGAAAAATTGCATCACTTGATTCAAAAATTATTTTGTTTTCCTTATCAAAAAATCTATAGGCTGTACTATTTGTTGCATATCCAAGAAAAGCACAAGTGACAACTTTAACACATAATTTAGGTCTTATAGGGTCCACAAGTCTAACAAAAGCTAGACAACCCCAAACCCTCAAATATCTCAAATTTGGCTTATGCCCTTTCTACAACTCAAAAGGTGTAACTTTTGTTTTTTTATGTGGCACTCTATTCATAACATAACATGCAGTTAAAATTGCTTCTCCCCACAAATTTAAAGGAGCATATGCTTCAATTAGCATAGCATTTGTTAAATCAGTTAAAGTCCTATTTTTCCTTTCTGCTACACCATTAGATGCAGGTGAATATGGTGGAGTAGTTTCATGGATTATTCTCAAAGACTGAGCAAACGAGTTGAATCCAAAAGATTCATATTCCTGGCCTCTATCACTTCTATATCTTTTAATCTTTTTACCGAATTGATTTTCAACTTCAAGAAGGAATTCTTTAAATTTTTCAAAAGCATCACTTTTATTTTTCAAGAAGTATACATAAGTGTATTTTGAAAAATCATCAATAAAAGTGATAAAATATCTATTTCCACCACGTGTTAAAATTCCTTCAAATTCACATAAATCAGTGTGAATTAATTCTAACAATTCAGTATTTCTCACCACACTTTTACGAGGCCTTTTAGTTATTTTTGCTTGACTGCAAATTTTACATTTCTCAAACTTATTTGTTAGTTTAGGAATTAATTCTAAACTACTCATAACTCCCATATATCGACTATTGATATGACACAAACGAGCATGCCAAAAATTCATGGAAGACATCATGTAAATAGAAACATGTGTTTTCTTATTCTCAACATTTAATTTAAACATTTCATCATAGGCATACCCTTTCCCCACAAATATGCCTTTTTTAGTGATTGCATATTGGTCAGAGTCAATAGTCTGCTTGAAACCAGCTTTGTTGAGCAAATAACTTAACATCAAATTTTTCCTCATGGACGGTGTGTACAACACATCTTTTAAAACAAACACACGTCCAGAGGTAAAATTCAGCTCAATATCCCCATACCCGAGCACCTTGGTTAAACTGGAGTCACCAAGCATAACAGTCATCTTCTCATTAAAATGAGTGAAATCTTTGAACCAATCTTTATCATAGCAGACATGCCTATTGGCATCAGAGTCTGCCCACCACCCTTCCACAGATTGAACCATAAAAATATCTGTAATCATAGCCACAAATGGTTCCTCAGTAACATTAGCCAGTGGTTGAGACTGTTGTTTCCGAAATTTGCAAGTTCGAGCAATATACCCACTTTTGCCACACACAAAACATGTCACATTTGTCAGATCTTGTGAAAGGGGTTCTTGGTTCCATTTCTTTTGCCTCGGGTAATTTTTATTTTGTGGCCTTCTAGTATTTTTCCAGATTTTCTTAACTGGCTTTAAGTGACTATTTTTATGAAATCGACCTTTAGGTAAAGTATTTTCAGAAGTTAAATTTACCTTTGCAGTGGTATGCTCTTGTGTCATAAGCGCATCTTGTTCTCGTGCTTCCTCCTCCACCCAAATCCGTGTGATTAGAGTCTGCAAGGACGTCTCTTTTTGCTTGTGACGCATTGACTTCTGGAACTCCCTCTAAGGTGATGGTAGTTTGTCAACAATACCTGCTACAACAAGATTGTCTCCAATTTTGATGCCTTCAGATCTAACTTCAGCCGCTAACATTTGAAAATCTTGAACTTGCTCCACCACTGATTTTCCATCTATCATCTGATAGTTGAAAAAACGGCTTGCAGCATATTTTTTAGCGCTTGCCTCTTCAGTGTCATATTTATTCTGCAAGGCTTTTCAAATTTTCTTGGCAGTGGTGTAAGTAGTATCATAATAATCATAAAATTGATCCAAAAGACAATTCAAAAGATAATGCCGACATTTATACTCATTTGTGTTGTATTTCTTGATTTTTTCAAGATGAGCTGCATACTCCTTGTCGGTCATCTCTTCAGTGGGGACTTTGTTGGGATTTTTCTCGGTCAGGATATAGGCTACCTTGAGGAGACTGAAGTAGAAAAGCACCTTGCCTTTCCATCTCTTGAAATGGGCTCCCTTGAACCGGAAGGGCTTGTTGAGATCACCAGTATTCTCGTTGGGTTTCTCTAGTACTGGCTCCATGGCTTTTTGCTATTTGAATCTCTTTAAAATTGTTGGTGATAATTACAAATAAAACACTAGAAAATACAAATAATAAAAGTTACAATAACTAGTATAAAGGTTGAGGCGCGAGAAATTCGCTCTCTTTAAGGAGATTCAAGCCCTCTACGGTTAGGTAAAGCCTCACACCAGTGCAACAGAAAAAACCTTGACTTGTCTCCCCCAGGATACAACAGCCCGACTAAGTCGTATGGTTCACCAATACTGCACAATTGGTTGAACCCAAAACTTTATCATATACACCATTTTTTATTTGCCTGATAATCTCACACAAGACATAATAAAGCAACCAAAACTTCTTCACTCTACCAAGATAAGAAGATAGCTTAATATATATATGAGAGAAAGCTTGGAGGGTTATTCTTGATGGATAAGAAAAGGATGGAGACTTGACTTGACTTGGCGAAGACTTAGAAAAGAAGACTTAAAGGATTCTTGAAGGAAAAGAAAATAAATCAAACTAATAACACATTATAATATTAAAATATCTACTAATACATAGTTTAATGGGTCTATCTTGAACAGTCAATTTTGTACTAATATAATTGGAGAGTGCAATTGCAGTGGCAAACGCTAGAATCTAAAATATTTTAGACTCTAATCTAATGGCATCACTTAGCACCAATTATTGGGGGTCTAAAGGGTCTGTAATGGCACTGGTCTGGTCCACTAATGTCTCCCAACCGGTTTTAGATATTCAAAAATATGATATATATAATGATTCAAACATTCTAAAATAAAGAAATGTTATATATAATTTTATTTTTTATTTTAGTTGGACACTCTTATTAGACATAATGAGTAGATTCTATAGACATTAACATCATATTGTTGTGTTTAGGATATGAAAATAGGATAATAAAAGGGATTATGTACAGTGTTGCTTTTCTAAAATATTAAAATCTTTTCAAAATAAAAACAACTTAATTAAATAATTAGATAAAGTCAACACACTATCTAGTAGTCTATATTACTTAAAGTATCTAACAAGATAAGTGAAACTGCATTCGTAACAAGATGATAATTTTGAACCATTATTAACAAGCCAAATGTAATACATTAAATTGACAAAAACATGACACGAGTAGCTTATTGGCAACTACACTCATTCCACCGATTTTCCCTTACTCTAACAACTCCTTGCATTTCCTTTCCATTCATTTCTTTATAAAAAAATTATTTAATATTCCTGAAGTAAAATTTTATTCTATTTATTGATTGACACATATCCTATAATTTAAATCAATAATTATTAATTTAAAATATCACTTAAACTTATCCGCATACTTTCTCCCGTATGATATGAATATGTATCTCAAACATTACAAAATAATTTAGACTATTTAGGCTTCGTTTGGGAAGCCATGGTTTGGGTTTTTTTGGCTATTTTAGCCACAAAAAACAAAATAGGCTATTTTAGCCATAACAAACAAAACATCACATCCAATCCATAATCATTACATTCTTCTCTCACAAAAAAACTCAAAAAAGCCAAAAAGTCAAAAAGTCATTCCCAAACCAAACTTTTAAGCCCAGACTAAAATAGCCAAAAAAGCCAAAAAGCCAAAAAGTCAACCCACTTCTCAAACGGAGGCTTAATTGTCCTAAGTTCACAATTCGTTCTAGATTAGAAAAGGGAAGGGAGGGAATCAGATACGGGACACGAGGAATCAAACATTTTAACGGCCAAAAAGAAACGATTGGCGCCAAAAGTCAGGTCCATTCCCTTCTATGCTGCCCGCGGTCAGCTACTTTCACGGGCACCTCTCTCTCTGTCTCTCTGATTGGGTATTAACAGAACATTGCACATTACTCTTCTTCACATTTATTTAAACCCTTTTTCCGTCTTTCTCAAATGTTACCTCTACACCTCTTTCCTTCTAGTTTCTCATATATCATCAACCAAAGACCCTTTTCTCTCTCTCTCTCTCTCTCTCTCTATCTTTCTCTCTCTCACTTTTCAAGATTTTCCATCTGATTTCTCCAGATTCTATTCTGTTTTCCATTTCCTCGCCCCTAAAAAAAAAACTCATATCTCTTCTTATCTATTTATTCAACTCCAAAGAGCACAAGTTCGGTCCAAACAAAATGGGGTACCCAGAAAAGATGGATGGTGGTGTTGAATCAGAGGGAAAGAAATGTTGGGTCATTGCTGGAATTCCATTGCGGAGTCCATTGAAGCCCATATTTACTACTCCAGAGAAACAGAGAGAGAATGATGATGGAGAAGAATGTTCAACTACACCGACAGCCGAAGAAGCCAGAATTCCAAGCAAGCTGATGTGTCCACCGCCTCCGAGGAAGCGAAAGCCTTCTTCAAGGTATCATTATAATGGCGTTAAGGAGTTCTTTACTCCACCAGACTTGGAAACTGTATTCATTCGCCGCGTTGAAAGGACTTAATTTTAAAATAAATGTCAAGTGTAACACTGATATCATTTGACTAGGGTTGTTCTTGTACTTTGTTTATGATTTTTAGCTCTTCTCTAGTGGGTAAGAGTTCATGTACATGGTTTTATGAATCAATAAAATGGAAATTTTATGTGACTTTGGTTTCATTGATTTTCTCTTCAAGCCATTCTTCTTCTTTATCTACTTTGAACCTAAACATGGTAATGATCCGACTTATCATCTCATATTCTCCAACTCCTCTTCTTTTGACCGGCATGGTTGTCGGTAAAGGAGTAGACTCTACCGCGAGCCATAGACTTTGAATTTCTTAGATTTAACTCTCATTAGTGTCTTTTGGACTATAATTCTTCTATTTGTATAGAAGTGAAATACATAACTGGACACAAATTCGTGTATATAGTTCTGTGATTAAATTTTAAAACTCATATGAAAAATACACATGTTAAATTTTGTGAACTTATCGCTTTAAAATAATAAAATTACTACAAACACATCATACTTGTTAATAATTTTATTGAAAGAAATATAAAATAGTAACAATTTTTTTTAAAATTATTTTACAAACAAAACACACATCATCATTACCATGTATTGATGAAAATTTTTGTACAATCATTTTGAAACAATAATATGTTTATAAATAAATTAAAAAAAAAACATTTTCTTCTCCCATATACTCTCTCTCTCTCTCTCTGTGGCATGCAAGTCAAAACCTATCTAATAAAAGAGAGGGTAAGGTAAAAATTCCTTTTCCATGGCATGAGATGCTCTGCATGGATGGCTTTTAAAGCTGTGATTGACAAAGACATATCCCCAATAACCCTCAGACTCAGACTCAAAAACCCCCCTATCATATCTTCCACAAAGTACTTTCTTTCTTTTTTATGCCCTGTGTCATCACTCAATATTATTACTCATTGATCCTTCACTCACTTCACTCTTCTCTTTGTGTCCCCACATCATATCCAATTAACCCCAACCCAATCACTCTCCACCCACCCACAACACCTCGGACGCCCTTTGTGATATGTATGTATATATATATATATGGTGGGAAAGTTCTCTGTAATGCTTTTTTTTGGTTGATAAAGAAATGGGAAAAAAAAGTTGCCAAAAGACAACATACATATGGGAAGTGATGGCCTCAGGGCCCCTCATAGATTAGAATCCTATGTCAAGTGCATGCAATACTTATTACATATAATATGCTTTCATGCTCCACTATTTAGACCTTTGGTTGATTGACAAAACCCCCATAAAAGTGACAAGAATTTTATATAGAAATTTAGAGTATGATTGGAAATGAATTGGTGTATTATGGTGTTTATATATAAAATTAAATTGAATCACATAGTAATATTTTTCAGTGGAACTTGGATTTGGAATTTGGGATGACTTTGAAGAGAATAAAGAGATGGGAGATTGGAATTTGGATTTTGGATATTAAAATTTGACGGACAGTGATTTTGGGAGTAAATAAGGAAGAATTACAGATATTAAAGGTGAAAGTGAAATAGCCAAAATGAGAAACTATGAAACTTAAGGTAATTTGTAATTTATCTATTTTGTCACGTATCACCATGTGGCTTGCTCACATAGTTGGTTTTAAAAATCAAGTGAAAATACTTACAGACGTTATGAATTAAAGTGAGAAAAAAATATATTTTAAGATTGTATTCGATTTAAGACTTTAAGTAGAGATTTAAGATTCATGATTTTGAAAAGAAAAACAAAAAGCAAGTAAAATATGAAATATAATTACATTTCACATATTTTTCATATCTATTTTTTTCTTTTTCATTTCTGAATTTTTATCCAAATTTATAATCTAAACACAACCTAAAAAATTAAAATGAAAAAATAATGAAACTTTTTTTTTTATCATACAATAAAATATTAATAAATTAAATTATAACAAAAATACTAGTGTCACTTTATCATTCAACCTTGAACCTTTGACATTCACTTTCCTATCCAACAGATAACTACATGAAAAGAGTACAATAAACAAAGTTATGTTGGGATGAGAGCCGTAGAATAAGCAATACTACAAGTTTTACTTGGCATGTAGTGAGTAAGTCGAGCTGGTTTAGATATAAACCAACTAAAGTCTTAGTATTATTCTTTTATAGTTTGTTTTGATCAAATATTATTGGAGGAGACCACGTTAGGTGAATTTTTGTGCTCGCCGCAGCAAATCCAATCCATATCTAATCCGTACATTACATGCATATTTAAAATGTTGATTTGCAATTTTATTACTATAAAATAGTTTAATTATTCAAGAATATGCCAATGGATCAAGTTATCCGTCTTTCAGATTGGGTTTCTAATATTTAATCCAAAAAAAAGATTTAAAGTCAAAAAATTATAAATTAGTACAAAATCATTTGGAAAGAATGATTTTTCTAAAGAAAAGATTGGAATTTACTTTTGAAATGATAAAATTGTCCCTCCTCTCTCTTCCTCTATCTTCTTTTTTCTCTACAAACCCCACCCCACGCTTCCTTTCCCCTACCATCTCCTCGCCACACTTCTCAAGACCACGTTAGGTGAATTTTTGTGCTCGCCGCAGCAAATCCAATCCATATCTAATCCGTACATTACATGCTTTTTTAAAATGTTGATTTGCAATTTTATTACTATAAAATAGTTCAATTATTCAAGAATATGCCAATGGATCAAGTTGTCCGTCTTTCATATTGGGTTTCTAATATTTAATCCAAAAAAAAAAAAGATTTAAAGTCAAAAAATTATAAATTAGTACAAAATCATTTGGAAAGAATGATTTTTCTAAAGAAAAGATTGGAATTTACTTTTGAAATGATAAAATTGTCCCTCCTCTCTCTTCCTCTATCTTCTTTTTTCTCTACAAACCCCACCCCACGCTTCCTTTCCCCTACCATCTCCTCGCCACACTTCTCAACTTTTCATCCACCCTTTCCCACCATCCCTAGCAAAGGAGGTTGTGAGAGATATAGTGGTGTTTTGAAAAATTGGTAAAAAATTAAATTTTTGAATTTTTTGTGACTTTTTTATGTTAAAAAAGTTAACTTTTTTGTATAAAAAAGTTAAAAAGTCAAAAAATTAACTTTTTACCAAAGTTTTCAAAACCCTCCATAATAAACAATGGGCTAGCAATGATCACTAACAGAAGAAGGGTGACTAGCAATAGGACAGAGGCAGGGAGGAGGGGAAAAAATGAAAGAGAAAGGAAAATAACCAAAATGTCAAACATTTATTTATTTCAATCAATTTTGAACTTCCCTCTTTCTATTACAATTATAATTAAAGCAATTTTTTTTTTTTATTATTAGAGTTAGAGTTAACCTACAAAAGTTAAAAATACAAAACATTATTTTTAAAAAAAAAAAAAAAAAAAAATCACTAGAAAATTCAGACTCTAAATTTTAATCCTATTACCATTATTATTATTATTTTATTATATTTAATTTTTAATAAAGTTTTCAACTCTACATTTTAAACTATTTTAGACTATAATTGCATGCATCACATAGCACCAATTATTGGGATAATTATTTGTGGCACTGGTCCAATGTCTGCCAAACCCATAGTAAGATGTTGATTGATGGGTAATTATTTGTATACCCATAAGGTTACAAATTGTCTATAATTTACAAGTCAATATCATGGTTAAAAGTCCCAGCATCCCTTGTCGTCGCCGAAACTTTAGAATTTTTAGATGTGGTGTAACAACAAAAATATGTATATAAATGACTAAAAACTCTAAAAAAATATGATAATTTTATTTAGAAAATATAACTAACTTAAATGAAGTAATTAGATAAAAAAAATATATATATAAACTACTTAAGAAAATATAACACACCAAAGAAGAAAAAAAAACACTAAATAATGTGTTTATGTGAAAAAATATAAACTACTTAAGAAATATATAAACTTAAAAAAATAATAATAATAAAGTTATACTTACCACATTTATATATATATATGGATAAAAGATATTTTTAATCTCTAAAATATGTGTTGTTTGTGATTTTAATTCCTTAAGTTTTAATTTTGTCATTTTAACCTTTAAAATTGTCAATTTGAATCAATTTAGTCCTAACTTTATGTCGTCCACCTATATTGATAATGAGAATATGAATAAAAGACAGTTTTAATTTCCAAAGTATGTATTCCTTGTCATTTTAATCTTTTAAGTTTCAATTTTTTTCAATTTGATTCCCAACATTATTAATTTGAGTCAATTTGGTCCTAATTCAAATTGATAACTTAGAGAACTAAAATAACAATATTAAAATTTAAGAGACAAATGACAAAGAACACACACTTTAGAGAACAAAAGAGTCTTTTCACCAAAGATACAATATTTTTCCTATTATCAATTTAAAATGACAAATAAAATAACACATACTTTAAGGAGAATTTTTTTTAAGGTCTCTAATATTAAGATTATATAACATAAAGGACATCTAATATTTTCTTAATGTCTAAGGTCCCTCAAATTGATCTAGAGAAATTCTCTATCTCCAGAGAAATTTTGAAAGAATTTCTCTGAACTCCCAGAATTTCTCTAGACTTTCCAGAGAAATTCTCCCAAACCTAGAGAAATTCTCTCCAAAACCAGAGAAATTTCATTTTTTAGCTCTCTACTCATCTCTCAGACCCATTTCATTTTCTTCACCATCTTCATCACAGACCTTCAACCTAATAATATTCAAAATTTAAGTTTCTTCTTATTTCACACATTTTTTCAGCAACCAAGCACGCAACCACTGATACAAAGTCCAGAGAAATTCTTTCTAGAATTTCTCTGGACTTCCCAACCCAGAGAAATTCTCTCAAAACCAGAGAAATTTCCAGGCAAACCTTTCTAGATAAATTCTCTCAAACCCAGAGAAATTCTCTTCAAAATCAGAGAAATTTCATTTTCTGTGATTTCTAACATCTCTCAGACCCACTTCATCATCTTCATCACAGACCTTCAACCTAATAATATTCAAATTTTAAGTTTCTTTCCATTTCACACGTTTTCTCAACAACCAAACACGCAACCATTGATACAACAATCAACTAATCAATAAAGCATAAGGAAACCCAATTGCGCAATTTTCACAATGACCATCATTATCATCTAAAATAGCACTTAAATTCATCAATC